TTATTCATGTAAGCTATAGCTTCTGACCTTTAAATCAAAACATACTCATGATTTTATAACATCAATTACCGCTTTATTTAATCAGAAACACAGTCTAAATGTTATTTGTGTATTTAACTTTCATTTTATTAAAAGTAGGCCAACAGCGCCCCCTACGGAATTAAAACTCGTTACAGAACGAGCATTAGGACCCGGGGGAGGCTGCCATAACTTACATTATCCCAAATGTTTCGAAGAATGTTTAAATCCAGAGAAATAAGTAATTTTAACTAGTGAGTCACTGCATCATCAAACTACGCCTTTGTCTCTTTGTTTGTTTTGAATACGCGCCCGCTAGCGGCAATAAATTACATATTGAGCCTTGAAAGCCATTATCAGCCAATTCTGATATCGGTTCGATAATATTGTGCATCCCTACAGTAATCATGCATCATAAGGGTGAACAGATCAGAGGCAGACCTTCTGTCTGCTGGCCAAGCGCTGGCTCTTGCGCTGCCTGTGCTTCTCCTGCAGCTGCTCTGTGTGTCTGCGCAGACGCTCCTGTTCAGCCTGCAGCTCCCCTCGCAGCAGCGCCACCTCCAGCTGCAGCTGCACCAAAAAACACTTCTTTACATTCCATCATACAGTTGCATAAAGCTTACATACACCTTGCAGAATCGGCAAAATGTTAATTATTTTACCAAAACAAGAGGGATAATACAAAATGCATGTTGTTTATACAGTTGCACACCAGTAAACACACACAGCTCAATTACCTTTTCATTTAACAAAAGAAAAAACATGCCGATGTTTTCAGATCATCAGTGTTTTTTCTGCAACGTGAGTGCTAATGGCTGCCAGATTGTGAAGATAAATTAAACACAGGGCAAAGATGTGTCCTTTTAAGAGAGAAACTCTGTTTGGAGGATTTAAACACATCTGGCAACCCAAGCATGAACACTGACAGATGTCTAGGATTTTTCTCCTTGTTGTAATGTTTTTTAAAGAAGTCTCTTCTGCTCACCAAGCCTGCATTTATTTGATCCAAAGCACAGCAAAAGCAGTACAATTTAAAAATATTTTTACTATTTAAAATAACTACTTTCTATTTGAATATATTTTAAAATATAATTTATTCCTGTGATTTCAAAGCTGAATTTTTAGCATCATTACTGCAATCACATGATACTTCAGAAATCATTCCAATATTCTGATTTTTTCAGGTTTGTTTGATGAATAGAAAGTTAAGAAGAACAGCATTTATCTTAAACAGAAATCCTTTGTAACATTATAAATGTCTTTACTGTCACTTTTGATCAATTTAAAGCATCCTTGACTACTTTCTATTTGAATATATTTTAAAATATAATTTATTCCTGTGATTTCAGCTGTAAATTTTTAGCATCATTACTGCAATCACATGATACTTCAGAAATTATTCCAATATTCTGATTTTTTCAGGTTTGTTTGATAAATAGAAAGTTAAGAAGAACAGCATTTATCTTAAACAGAAATCCTTTGTAACATTATAAATGTCTTTACTGTCACTTTTGATCAATTTAAAGCATCCTTGATGAATAAAAGTATTAATTTCTATAATTTGTCCTCCCCCCAAAAAAAAAAACAATTATACTGACTCCAAGTATAGTATAGTGTAAAATGTTACAAAAGCTTTGCATACAAATTTCTGCGCATCACAGAAATAAATTACAGTTTAACAGATTTTCAAATAAAAAAATAGTTATTTTAAATAGTAAAAATATTTCACAGTATTACTGTTTTTGCTGTATTTTGGATCAAATAAATGCAGGCTTGGTGAGCAGAGAATTCTTTCAACATTAAAAATCCTACTGTTCAAAAACGTTTGACTGGTAGTGTAGATAATTTTTTGGGCAAAAAAACGTGTTGTTTTAAGAGAGAAACTCTGATTAGGGGTTTAAATCTGCCACATCTGGCAACCCAAGCATAAATAATCGCAGCGGTCTAGAGTTTTTCTCTTCTTTTTTATTAAAGAAAATCTAAAGAAATTGTGGATATAGATAATTTTTTGCTAATAAACTACATTTTAGTCTCGTCTGTTTTCGTCAACAATATTGCATGTTAATATAGTCACAGTTAGTGTTTAATGATGTCGGCAGCGTCATATTTTTCCTTAAGGAAACTCACCTCAATCTTTAGCTCCTCCCTCTGCTGGTCGAGCTCCGTGATTCGCTGCTGCAGCATTGACGGTGATGTCAGCGAGACTCCGCCTCCCTGTTTGACTCGATGCTGGTTAAGCACAGAAGGAGAGATGAGTGCAGCTGATCCACAGCACTGGTTATGAGAGGAAAGCGTGTATTTACCTGTTCGCTCTCTGTGCTGCTGCCCTCGGTGTCTGACTCCGCCCCCGAGGAGGCGGGGCTCTGCTCCACTCTCACGATCCACGGCGATCTCCGGACCGGGTCCCATTGACTCTTCTGCGTTTCCATATTGTGTCTGGGCATGTCTGATTACACAGGAGTGGAGACTGGTTAAGCTGGCACATTACAACAACAAACAAGGCTCAAATGACAGATGCTCACACTAACATGCACTGAACACGGTAAAAGTGAAGTCCTGACTGGTAAACAGTGTATAACGTGTTCTAGATGTTGCTTTCTTAGATTAATGAGCAGAAAATGTTACACAACAGCCATTAATTCTCAGGTAGAATGTGTTACAGAAACGCTTAACACTGGCATTTTAATCTAAATTATTACTATTAAAATATTCATGACATTATTTAATTCAAGTATAATA